GCCGCGCCCTCAAGACATGGTTGTTCCAGCTTGCGGGACTGGCCTAAGGGATTTTAAAGGGGTTTTAATTACTTTTAATCAGATTAGTTTAAATATTTCTTTTTAATTAATTTTAAAGGTGTTTTCTATGTTTGTATTTTATCTAATTGTTAGCCGCCCTGAGTCCGCAAGGAGAAGGGCGGGATATAAATGTAATTAATTAAATAAATAAATAAATAAATACACAATTACAACCAGATCCCGTTACAAAAGAGAGAATGTCCCCCCCACAATTGGTTTGACAAGGGAATGAAGAGCCATGGTATGGACTGCCACCCATACAACCGTGGACGACCGTACCCAAGAGAGAGAGTAAGGAGGATGGATTGGATAATATACGATCAGGTACGGCACCGGCAAAAAGGGGGGGGGGGAGGACTGCCGACACGGAGAGAGAGAAGCACCTGATTTGCAGCCCCAAACAGTGAGGAGATCCGATCGCCCCCTAGAGAGAGAAAAGAAGGCGAAAGGGGGGGACACGGAGACAACCGTACCGTACCGAGAGAAGAAGAGCAACCCCATGTTGGTGGAAGCAGTGGGAGGGTGTGGCACCAGGAATAGGGTGGACCTGTCGGAACTAGGGAGAGACCGCCCTCCGGGAGATGAGAGCGGAGGATCCGGATGCAATGGGTGGAGAACCGAGCAGCAGTGAGCCGTACAGCAACAGATTGCCATATGCATGATCGAAGGAGATCACCCCTGAGAACATAGGGGGGGGGGGGAGACGACGAACCTCGCAGGACACGGACTGAGACGATGGGCGAGGAGCGAGCCGGGTGTGTGTGTGGATAATACGGAGCGTGATAGGTTGCCTGGATTGCGGCTGCGAGGAGTGGTGATGGGGGAAGGACCGAACTGCGGTTTGACTGAGCCAGTTGGAGGGGCTAGGAAAATATCTATTACCAGAAGAAGAGAGGATGTACCGTAGGGTGTAATATTGGATTTAGTTTGAAGAAGCTTACATGTATCACAGAATTACTAATGGACTCGGTCATCATGTTGTCTATTAAGCACTTGATTGTAAAAATAAAAAATTAATAAAATAATGCTCATAGGAGAAAAGAGGAACTAGCAGAAACAGAGTTAGTGAAAATAGGAGGGATAAAAAAAAATGCTGGCAAGCAGCTAAAGGTACTACCGGTATATTAGCTTGAATGAAGAGAGAAAGAGAAGGAAGCGATGTTCAAAACAGATTGGGCAATTATTGTGCTGCTGAAGGTTCCTCTATGTCTAAGTGGGGAAAATTTCCTGAAATATTCAAGAATAAGACCTAGAGTAAGAGAGATCAAGGAAGAAAAGAACTAACACATTAACACAGAAGGCATAAGTATGGCTATGCCAGGAAATAAATGGAAGAAGGAAAATTTGAGTGATTTACTATGAAAAATTCATCAGCTAATTCAGAGGAACATGGCCAACCACTCCTATAAACACCTTTTTTAAAAAAAATGTAGAAATGTAGAATTCTCTAGTATTTAGCATCATAGAAAATGTCTTGTATAGTAGGGATACACATATCTTAAGTTCCTATTATAATTTGGTAAGCAATTTGTGTTTAGAATGGCTTCTGACCCAAAACAGTGCAGGAAAAGTATCATTTTGATTTTTTAAAAGGCTTTTTAGGACTAAGCAGCATGAGGTTAAAGTACTTGACCTTGAACTTGAACAGCTCTATTGTCCTGTCTCTTTTAGACAGGTTCCTTGTGTTCATGTAGGTACAGACTCATTCCTATAAGACAGTTCGAAAACTTCCTTTATTGAGTTATTAAAATTCAGATTAGAACAAAGACGACAATTAGAACAAAGACGACCTTTCATTTAATCATTTTAGCAAGCCTATTAGATCTGGGCTGCAAAAATATGAATGACCACTAGACAGCAACAGAGTTAGAAATTCTTGTGGTTGCCTGAATTTCTGTAACCCAAAACTAACATAGTAAACCTAACTTTGACACGCCTGTTGGTTAAGCTATCCTACTTTTAAGTAAAGTGCAATGGGTAACAATCTATTTGGGTAGTGTAAGAAACATGAGACAATAGTTTATTTTTTGTTGTTGTTTCTCTACTGCTTATTGTCAATATTGTCAATGGGAGATGCTTACGTGATCGTTTTTACTTAAACTGATAAACAACTTGTGTCAGGATAGGTTATTTAGGGGAAAGCGCACGGTCAGGTCGAGGAATGAGTTTGTTTTTAGTAGGATTTGCTTCCGAGTTAAACATCTAGAGATAGGTGAAGTCATAAAGCTATTATCGGAATAACTGCTTGTGTAGACTAAGTCCGATGTCAGCATGGTGATTCGCTGGAATCTGGAACAGCGACATGGGTGGGGAAACAGACGAACTTAAATCTGGCTAATTCTGGAAGAAGTTTGGTCTTCGTCCTTTGCCGTAGCTGCTCGGTCTTGAAGGCTTGTTTTTTTAAAAGCTGGTCCACGTTGCGCACGCATGCGTTGTAATCATTGTTTGATCACCTGAGGCTTATAAACGGGGTAAAGAGGTAAACCGGATGTGGGGGAATAGGGAGATTGTGGCAGGTCCCTTTTCGCAGTGCTTCCGTGAATCTTCGAAGAAGCAAAGCTACTTCGAGACCGTTTGATGCTCTGAGGCTTGCAAAAGAGAAGGCTTTCCTCTGGCCGTATCTTTCGTTTGCTTCAGCCGACCGGCGTCATGTTCAAAAAACTGAAGCAGAAGATCAGCGAGGAACAAACTTCGGGCCGCGGAAGTCCCGCGGGTGGTGCTTCAGCGTTTCCTCAGGTACGCGGTAGAAAATCCGGGACCTGGCGCTCCTGCTTGGCATAGAATACGAAGACTGGTTCTCTTTCTCTCGGGAAATGCCTGGTGGTTTAAAACGGAGTAATTATAGTCTTCATAGGGGCAGACTCCGGAATGTGTGCGAATCCTGACGCAGTTTCCTTCCTCTCGACCTCCCTCTGCGGGATGGGAGGGACCGCTGAAAGGGCTCAGGTGCCGGCCTCCTCCGAGCCACATGTGTATAAAAAGCGCCATTGTTTCAGTTTATCACTTTAGGACACTTTGCGCTAGCCACATAGGCAGCCTTCTACTCAAGTTAATTTTGGTTGTCTAGTAGGACTTGTTCCAGCCTATTCCAATAATTGTCTGAACAAGACGTGCTAAACCCACCAAAGTTCATTGCATTTTAGCCTAGTGTTGTGAGAACCAGACTGTGCATGGTTCAGTGTGCTTGTTAACAGAAATTGTGTTAACTGAGTCTTTAAGAACTCGGGCAAGCTAGAAATATAAATGCACTCGACTATGTTTATTCAGAACAGAGGCCTGCTAACTTCAGAGTAATCTTTCCACTGCTCTGGATAGGTCCCATTGAGTTTGGTGTGGCTTGCTTTCAGCTATGAACTCATAGGATTATGTGCCTAAGCCCACCAAAAAGAATGTATCCTAAAGACTTCCCTTTCAATTACATGCTAGGATTATTTGCCAGCACATTCTTTGATTTATAGGAATGTATTAAGCATTCATGTCAATTCTTAATAAAAAGAGGCATTAATAAGTTGCCTTTGATTTTGTGCAGGAGCAAATATATGCGAATTTTCCAGTGATGTGTCCTTTATTGAGTTTTTCTATGTGTGAACAGTTGTGAATAGTTTTTGTTGCAGTCACAGCTCCTTAAATCTTGATATCAAATAGACTATTTTTTCTAATTGTGATTAGAAAATACACTATATTTCATTGTAACAATGTCCTATGTATGAAAAAGGAGCTTTTTGAGAACCTGCCAAGGATAGAATGGGATGTACTGTTCAATAGAGCTAGTCACGCTGTAGTACATTCTTAGATGTTTTATTGTTTAATGATTGTTGAATATGAATTACATATTCTGATACATATTTTCTGTCATGTCTTCTAAAATGGATCTTGATGTAAACAAATGACTACATACTTATCTTGAGATAACATATTTTCCATTATTCTTAGTGGTGACAAGATTGAAAAGTAAGAGCTAATTTCAAACCTTTGCAAATGTTAGTCAAATTATACAGGTTTCAAAAGAGTCTCCAAACACTTGTAAGAAAAGACAATGATCAGTTCTTCCCCATTTAAAATCTGAAATATTTTATTTCATGCAGCTACACAAGTCACGTTTTATGTTATAAGGATTTTTTGCACTCTGAAGTGGCATACGATTAGGTTCCCAAAAAATGTTATGAAAATACAATGGATTTTTTAAAATTATCTTTAATAAATGGAGACACCAAGCATCAGATATTCAAAATCCCTTCAGTTCAGAATATAGAATATTGTATTTGAGAATCAACTATAAATTTAAAATGTTAAAAGGAGCCTGAACATAAATGTTATATTTTGTATGTATTTGTGACTCAACCATAGCAAGACAGAATGATTGTAGGTATTTGCCCCCTTCCTCTGACAAGGTTCTTCCATCTCTGGTTCTGGATGGGGTTGCAATGCTCCAAACAGACCTGGTGCACAATGTGAGGGTCCTCCTGGACTCATGGTTCCTGTTTGAAGAGCAGGTGACAGCCAAGGCTATGAAGGATTTTGCATATCTTCAGATGGTGCATCAATTGCAGCCATACTTAGACTACGAGGTCCTACTCATGTAACTCACGCTCTTGTAACCTCCAGGATAGACTACTGTAATACACTCTTGGCCTGCCCTTGAAGATCATTTGGAAATTGCCAACTGGTGCAGAATGTGGCTGTGTAGGTAGTAAACGGTATGAGGTATACATAACATGTAACACCATTCTTGTTTGAGCTGCACTGGTTACGGGTGCATTTCTGGGTGCAATTCAAAGTGCTGGTGATTACCTATATGGTTTGGAAGTGGGGTACTTGAGGGATTGCTTTTTTTCAAGAGTGTCTACCCATCCAAGTAGGTCAATCAGAATGGGCATGTTGCAGATCCTGTCAGCCAAAGAATGTCGGCTGGCAGAAACCAGAAGGTGAACTCTTTCTGCAGTAGCCCTTGCTCTATGGAACATTCTCCCTTTGGAGACCAGAATGGCCCCAAACCTGTTAGCCTTTTATAAGGCCTAAAAACCTGATTATGTTCCTGGGCCTGGGTGCTGAATGTACCAAGGTCTCCATTTCCTGGCTATATTATTAACTGGCCAAATTGTTAACTGCTCTTGTGTATGCCAAATTGGATGTTTTAATGTTTTTGCTAATTTTACTGTTTTTATTGTTTTACATTTTAAAAATTTTTTTAATCATAATGTATTTTATGAAGCCACCCAGAGTCATTGACTGAGCTGGGCAGCATAGAAATTAATCAAATAGTCAACCTAATAAATAAAGATACACTTTAAAAACTTTGAGGCGTAGTTCTCAAAAGAGAATCCCTGGGAAGCTGTGTAGCTATTTATGTACATAACTATTTGAGTACCTTCATATTGGGATGCAACTAATCCTATTTTGTGGGCACTCATGTGAAATATTGTAACTGCACAACATATAAAAAAACCAGTCTACTTTAGGGCAGGGCTTTTCAACCAGTGGTACGGGTACCACCTGTGGTACATTGGCACCTGGCAGGTGGTACGCGACCATCCTAGAAAAGTGGTAGCGGGGGAGAGGAATGAGCTGAACTGGTGGCAGCACCACACAAGCCTGAGTGAGAGATGGCTGGAGCTGCAGGGCTCTCAGGGCTCAGCAGAAGCGCCAGGATCAGCACTTCTTTGGGGTTGTCAGGGCTCAGTGGAAGCGCCAGGATCAGCGCCAGGCTCCAGCTGGAGCTCGGCGCTGATCCTGGCACTTCTGCTGAGCCCAGAAGAAGCGCTGATCAGCTGGAATGTTGCAGCATCTCCAGGGTCTTGTGATTTACATTCAGATTCTTGGCAACTGATTCATATTTATGACGGTCACAGTGTCCCAGGGTCATGTGAAGTGACCAATACCTGCTGCAACCACCCAGAAGCCAGAGGGAATAAAAACCAAACACCCCCCACCCCACCCCTGCTGCCAATCCTCAACAGAAATGCTCACAACAATGAAAACCTCGGACAGGAGGAAAAGTGCGGCCGGGCGGGCAAGCAGGTGTCTTGCTCGGCTGTGGCTTGGGGGGGTACTTTTTTCAGTGCCATTGTAATTTTGAACAGTCACTAAGCAAATGTTGTAAGTCGAGGACTACCTGTACTTTATCACTTTTTTCCTTTTTTTGGGGTCATCAAGTTTTTAACACCTTGCTAGGTGACTTGTGGTACTCAGATGTTGCCATATCCTAAAAGTGGTACAATGGGTGAAAAGGTTGAAAAGCCCTGCTTTAGGGATAGGATAATATAGGACTCATCTTACGATTTCATAACTTCATAACTTCCAATATTTAGTGAATGTATAACGTAATCCCAAGGAGAACATATTTCACCTCTTAGTACACTTAAAATCTAAGATTAGGAGCAGTCAGGATAAATTGATCAACTTTATGACTGAAATGTATTAAAGATTAGATAGTAAAAGACCATATGCATTCTTATCAAATATATAAAAATAGTCAAAGCTGCATGGTTGGAAGAACCAATATTGTTCAAAATGGCTTTACTTAATGAAGTATTGATATTATTTTTAACTCAATTTAAATAATTAAAATTAAAATAATTTTAGTACAATGTGCATTTTTGTATGGCTACTTGTGCTCTGTATTGCATATAATCAAATAGGTAGGAAGACACTCATTGTTCTTGATATTTTTTTACAGAGATCTTCTGAATCTTCTGCGCTGTCACCATCAATACACAGGAACAGAACATCATCTCTTACAGAGCAAAATGATGACAGTACTTCAACTCCTAATAGAGAGGTGGGTTGGAGGTCTATATCATAATGGGGGAGAGAGCATCAACAAAGTTAAAGAGTTACATTTTTGTTACATTTGATTAAATTAATTTTAATCAGTTCTCTATTGTTTAATGTATAAATTAATTGCTGTATAAATGAATAGCACAAAAGTAACTTTCTTGAAAGACAGAATTCAGTACAGAAATTTGAGTTCTAAGATCTACAGTACCAACAGATATTTCTGAGTTTTTAAAATCTATAGATATATTTGTCCATAAATCATCCTGTTTTATTGTGATTTATTGTTAATGTGATGTAATGATTAAAATTATGGAATAGGATTTTGATTGTGGAAACCTATTTCAGTCTATTCTCAGCCACAGAAGTTTGTCATTGCTCTTTCTCTCTCAGCCCAATTCAACTTTTCTTGAATTGTACAGATACAACTGCCTTACAACCGTTCATTTAAAAAAAATGTAGAATTATGACAGCCTTTGAAAAGTTTTTATAGCCTGTAAAGCCCTTCCAACTGTTGCAAAATGTTGCACTACCATTTCTGCAATCATGTGATTATGATCAGGGTGCTTGGTAACCTGTTCACACAGTTGCAAACTACCCCGCAATCGTGATCACTATTTACAACTTTCTCTGCTAGCTCCCCAGAAAATTAAAATGAAAGCCAGCAGGACAGTTATAAGCTATTGTTCCTTGGGGACTGGCTTTGGCGGAGAGCAGAAACAGAGCCAAAACCATGAAAATTTGAGCTTTATCCCTGCAACCTTCCAGAGGAGATCCTTTCTATGTGCAGAAGAGAACTGAATTCTCTTAGCAAGGCAGTTCTTTCAGTCAAGCCAAAGGTGAATGTCTCTCCGCTCAGAGGCTGAAAATCCTACGTGGACTTTGGCAGGGTAGACTTTCAGCTCCCCAAAAGTTCCTCACATGATTTCCCCTATCTGTTCCCCTGGCATTGTATGATGTAGGATTTTGTCTGCTTAATGCCCTGTAATCTTACCCAGGAATCTAGTTGTGTGAAGCAATAATTGATGTCTTGTTTGATGGCCACTTTGCTCAATGACTGTGATTTCACTCCCGATTGTGGTTTTAAACGAGAACTACCTGTAATAGAGAAACATTGGAGGAACATATTAAGTACTTTTCCTTGAGTTCCTGGAGGAAAGTTGGGATATAAATTAATCATTAAATGAACCATCATTCTAGTCATTGTTATCCACTGCAGGAAGACCTCTTCCTCGTGTTTCCAACCAATACAGTCTTGAGCTTTCTTTTGCCAATTGAGCTCACAATACTTGCTGATGTCATCGATCCATCTTGTTTTAGGTCTCTTTTGTGGACACTTCTTATCAAATGGAATCCATTCTATAACTGCCTTAGTCCACTGCCATCAGTTCTTTTTATGTGACCAGCCCATTTCCATTTCAATTCTTTTACTCTCTTGATATTGTATACTTTTGGTTGTTCTCTGATCCATGTGCAGGTCTTTCTATCTTGTCTTGTGATGCCAAGCATGTATCCTTTCTATGGCTCTTTGTACTACTATGGCTCTTTGTACTACTACTTGTAGCTTTTATATCGATTGTCAGGTTAGTGTACATGTTTTGCTGGCATATGTTAGAACAGATAGCACACACTGATTGAAAACTTTTCTCTTTAGGTATAGGAAGAGATTGTTCTTGAAAATTACACTTAGCTTGTCGAATGCCTGCCAACCACATTTAACACGCAGTTCAGTTTACTTTATTGTATCACCTTCCACTGAGATCCATTGGCCAAGTTACTGTATTTTCCGGCGTATAAGACGACTGGGCGTATAAGACGACCCCCAACTTTTCCAGTTAAAATATAGAGTTTGGGCTATATCAGGGGTAGGCAACCCAAAACACTCAAAGAGGCACTTGGACACGTTTCCCACCGAAAACAAAACACTGGGAGCCGCAAAACCCTTTTGATATCTAAAATGAAGATAAGACTGCATATATCCTTTTTTACCTTTATGATATATGTGTGTGTGTGTGTGTGTGTGTATGTTTGTGTGTGTATATATAAAATAAAGGTGAAAAAGGATATATGCAGTGTTATCTTCATTTTAGATGTCAAAAGGGTCTCTCTCTGTCTCTGTCTCTTTCCTCTCTCTTTCCTTTCTTTCCTCTCTCTCTTTCCTCTAACTTTCTCTCTCTTTCCTCTCTCTTTCTCTGTCTCTCTCTTTCCTCTTTCCTCTTTCTCTTTCCTCTCTTTCCTCTTTCTCTTCTTTTTCCTTTCTCTCTTTCCTCTCTTTTCTCAATCTTTTTTCTCTTTCCTCTCCCCTCTTTCTTTCTCTCTTTCCTCTCTTTCTCTCTCTCTTTCCTCTCCTTCTCTCCCTTTCCTCTTTTTCTCTTTCCTCTCCTCCTCCCTCTTTCCTCTCTCTTCTCTTTCTCTCTCTTTCCTCTCTTTCTCTTTCCTCTTTCTCTCTTTCCTCTCTCTTCTCTTTCACTTTCCCCTAACTTTCTCTCTCTCTTTCCTCTGTCTTTCTCTGTCTCTTTCTCTTTCTCTTCCTGTCTCTTTCCTCTAACTTTCTCTCTCTTTCCTCTCTTTCTCTTTCCTCTTTCTCTTTCCCTCTTTCTCTTTCTCTCTTTCTCTTCTCTTTCTTTCCTCTTTCTCTTTCCTCTTTCTCTCTCTCTCTCTCTCTTCTCTTTCTCTTTCCTCTTTCTCTTCTCTTTCTCTCTTTCTCTCTCTCCCTCTTCCTCCAGGTTAGGAGAGAGAGAGAGAGAGAATGAAAGGCAGATGGCGCCGAACGGGCAAGGAGGGGGAGCAGGACGGGAGGCAACAGCTCCCGGCCGCCGAACGGGTGAGGAGGCAGCCGAACGGGCGAGGAGGCAGCGGCTCCAGCAGCGGACGGGAGGCAGCGGCTCTGGCAGTGGACACTGCAGCTTCATCGGGGTCACCGCCACCACCCCTGACCTGGCCGCCGCTCCCGCCGCATCCTCAGCCACTTTGCCGTCGCAAGGCTGGGTGCACCATGGGCGGCCGCGGCTGCAACAGGGAGTGCCGCCGTGGGGACAAGGGGGGTCCTGATTGCCGCCAGCCCCGCCGCCCTCGCAGCCCAAGGTCTCCTGCAGCACCGAGGGCACCGGCAGCTCCCCAAAAGTGGCCGAGGAAGGCACCACCGATGGGGCCGGGTGGCGGAGAGCCCTGCGGCAGCCAGGCGAGCTTCATGCCTGACTGCCGCCCAGCCCGGGGTGACATGTGGCCAGCTCGGCTTCCCGAGGTGCGATGCCCCCGCTGGCCGCCAGCCCAGCCATGACTGCCACCCGGCCCGGCCTGAGGAGACATATGGCCGGCTCGGCTTCGTGGGGTGCAATGCTCCCACCGGCTGCCACACCAGCCATGACTGCCGCCCGGCCCGGCCTGGCCTGGGGAAACATGTGGCCGGCTCGGCCGTATTTTCCGGCGTATAAGACGACTGGGCGTATAAGACAACCCCCAACTTTTGAGAAGATTTTCAGGGTTTAGAAAGTCGTCTTATACGCCGGAAAATACGGTATATATTGTAATATAAGAGTTTGGTGTCATAAAAAAGCCAAGCCTGAATAACATATTCCTTGTTTTTTATATCTTAAAATACTGATGATACTAGGCAAATATTAAATGATGCAAAAAATTTTAAAAAAATTCTGGCTTGTAGAGAACATTGGGAAGGTTCCTTGCACAGTTTTAAATCAAAGATCGGCCCCCTTTCTCAGGAGCAGCATTTATTTTTTTTAATCTCAAACAATGTAATTGTGCCAATGAGGCTTTTAATAAGGTTCCTATTGGAGGAAGCAAAATGTTTATAAATCCTAATTACAGTGTGGAGCGATGTATCTTAGTATGGGGGGAATATGTGCGAGTGGATGCAAATAAGGTATGTGAACAGAGATAGCTACAATATAGGACAGAGATGCATGCAAAAGAGTAGATCCTTTAAGCATGCCCACAGGGAAACTGAGCTACCTATTTCTACCATGTGGCTTTTGATCTACTTGGCTCAGGCTAATTTGTCCCTTAGGGAGAAATAATTTGCGCATCTTTACAATAATGCTTGATTTCTAATCATAAAGTTTCAGATTACGTGCCACTCTACAAGTTTGATGTTTTTTCAGTTACTTTTTTGGGCATAGGAAACTTTTGTAGATACAGTTTGTCCTGTTTTGTTTATTTGTTTATTTTGTTTATTTGTTTATTGTCTATGCAGATTAATTTGTTGTTCAATTAATTATTGAATGATTAAAATGTAAACCAGTCCATAGAGCTTCTCTGTGAACGATTTCAGTGTACCTGGCTTCTGTAAAAAAAATTCTGGATGAAAGCAAATAATGGAAACACTATTTATATATATTAATTTTGAAGCTAAATAATTAGCTACATGAGTCATATCAATTAAGACAAGTAATCCCTTTTTTCTACCTCTCTTATTAGTCTTTTTTCCTCTTTGTACTTGTTACTTTTTCTTCTTTCTGCCACTCTAATCTAAAAATAATTCTTTTTGCTCAAGCAATCAAGTACATTTTTCTCCTCTTAAAATATAAAAATATCCTTGAAATCAACAAAGCAGTTTTGCATGTAAGGATACTTTAGCAGTACATGCCATAAAATACATGTCACTTTGTGCATGATTCCAAGAAAAGACATACTTGATTTAAATAGTTGCTAATTGGTTCAATGCCTACATCAAAGTTTTTCCTTTAGTAGGTATCTCTAGTATGTTATATTTAAATTCATAAATATTAGACTTACTAGCTAAGAGTGAATATATATTTTTAAATGTATTATAACCCCAGAATTTTTTTTTGCCATTATCAGTGTTAAAATCCACAGTGTAATCAATTTCTTAATTAGCTTGATAGAGATTTCAATTGTATGTCTGTGGGGGATTCACTGCTCAAAATTAAGCTGACAATGTATGGTAATACGTAACCTAGCATACTGAACTCCCAGTAGTTTGTACCGTGTGGATTTCTGTTATAACACAAATACACAAAATTAGCT